GTAGCGCGCCCATCTGGCATGCCTGCGGCCCAGGTTCGATCCTCAGCACCACATACAAACGGAGATGTTGTGTCCGCCCAGAACTAAAAAATAAATATTAAAAAAAAAAAATCAATCCCCAGTACCAAAAAAAAATAAAAAAATTAAAAAAATAAATGAACAATAACAGTCCATTTAAACCAGGCAGTATTTAAACCAGGCAGTGTGTTAAATGCTCCGTGGACTTATCCACTTGAAGTCTCAGAGCAATCCTACTTTGCCTTATGATCCCCATTTTATGGATGGAAACACAGAGGCCCAGGAAGGTTAGTCAACTTGCTAGCAAGGGGCAGGGCAAAAATTCAAAACCCAAGCCTGATGCCCAGTCCTCCTTCTTGCTCCCCTGGCTTTCTATGGCTCTGCAACTCACCCGTAGCTTCAGTGGCCATTCCTACCTGCCTTAGGGCATTGGAGAGTTTGGCAAAGGAGTTGAGAGACCAGAAGTGAGCTTTTCCTTTGACCCTGGGATTGTTTTTCAGGAATCGCTTCCCCCGAAACAATCACAGAAGTGAGCCAAGATATATACACGTCTGTTACATCAGTATGTGTAGCAAAAATACGTGAACAGGTTTACACACCTGAAAACTTCCATGTGTCTTGCACTATGCTAGCTTTTCCTGCTTGAGCTCGTTCATCCTCAGAGTCACTAGAGACTAGAAGCACTGGTCGTCTCCATCACACTGGTCTGGGCTTTTACAAAGGGAGGAGGGTGAGCAGGTGAATTAATTGCTTTCTGTAACAGGACATCATGGATTCCCATGCATCCATGAGGATATTCTGTGGGATGTGTGAACTCCCAAAAAGATTTTGGAATTTCATTTCCCTTTTGAGCTGGGGTCTGATTGTGTTCCCTGGGCTGGCCTTGATTTCCTGGGCTCAAAGTGTCCTATCTTAGCCTCCCCAGTAGCTGGACTACAGGAGCATACCACCACTCCCCCCTAATAATCTTTAATTTCTTCAAGGGTAAGCATATGTAGGGTCACACAGACAGACAGCTTCCAGCCTGGCACTGGCTCTTTATCTGGACAAACATTTCTGTGTCTACTCACAGCCCACAGGAAGCCACCTCAAGCAACAGTTCCATTTCCAACTGTGAGAGCTCTGTCTGGCTTTGGAATGCCCACAAACCGAGTGGAAACAATCGCCCATTGTCCAGCCTGTGTTCATGCTGAACTTTCTGCTCAAGCTGCAATGTGAAATTTCTTTTTTTCTTTTTTTTGCATTGATAATTCACAATCTAAAGGCATTTTTAGAAATACGAGATTTTAGTGTTTTGTGTCATTTAATGAGTTAAAACTCAAGGTTGACATCAAGAAAAACACTTGGTATTAGAGACATTGACAGTCTTGGGCCAGATTTGTGTCCCCATCTGGTATACAGACAGCTAGACAGGCCAGCAGAGTTGTCAACAGAATATTTCCCTGGAAGTCCTTTCCAGTGGATACTTTTTCTTTCTTTTTTTTTTTTTGTACTTTTCCGTATGATTATCTATTTATTTATTTATTGCTGTGAGGATCATCAGTTTTACAGGAAAAATGTACTTTTTTAAATCTTGGGGCTGCTGAAACCATCAGTAACAAACGAGGTCCAACACGTGTACAGCTTGGCCATCTCTGGGATTTTTTTTAACGTGTGAATTGGACGCCTCCAGGCCCGCGGTGGCCACGCCTCCTCCTTCCCGCCCCACCCCTTTTCCATCTGTCGCAAAAGACTCGGCGGCGCTTTACGGCCGGCGTCGTTTGACGGCGGGAGGTAACCAAGAAGGAGGAGGAAGAGGCGGCGGTGGCTCCCCGGGCGGCTGCGGCGAGCGTCGGGGTGGG